CCACTGCCCAACCAATTGGCACAAGCACATCCCACCGCTCGATGAATTATTCAATGATTACACATGCTTATTCTCGTTCAACGATTATTCAATGACCAAACCAAGGGGCGCCCAAAGTAGTGTACACAACGGCGTTCACATGTGATGTGCACGTGCGATGGCACCTACAGCGTTCTTATTCCCCGGACTGTTGCTTTCGCCAATCGTGCGTTTCAAAATTCGTCGACGTTCTGACGTCGGGCGCATGAACCCGCGCCACCCCAAAGCGCCCTCCCTTCCATTGGCTGCCTGGCTTACGGCCTGAGACGCCTGCACAATATCCCCCTCCGAATCAGCACTCGTGCAGCATCAACAAAGTGTCTGCCATCTCTGCCAGGTCTTCGTCGGAATCCGACAAGTCCACATCGAATCCCTCGTCCCCGGAGTGCCGCGCCTGGGGGGCCAGCGTGCGCTTCGCAGCCGCCCCGCCCCTCCTCGAGCCCCGCCTGCCCCTGCCCCTCCCCTTGTCTCCCCGCCTCGAGCTGGCAGAGTCCTCCACCACAACATTCATGGCGGCTTCGCCTTCCGAAATGGCCCCTGGGCTGGCAACCAACCCGCCTGCCGCATCCTTGGAGAAGTTGCAGATCGCCCTGGCCCCCCTGATGTCTCGGGCGGCCTTGTCGTAGGCCAGGGCCGCCTCCTCTGCCGTGTCAAAGGTGCCAAGCCACACCCTGGAGCTGCGGGAGGGGTCCCTGATCTCTGCCGCGAACTTGCCCCACGGCCTCTGCCGCACGCCCCTGAACTTCATCTTCCCGCTCTTCTTCGTGATCCCTGGCCACGCCTTCGCACTGCCCATCGACGCCCCAGAGGAGTTCGCCAAGGAGGATTTGCGGTACCTGGCCTTGCCGCCTGGGGACGAGGTGTCGCTTGAGGGGGGGCTGCAGCCGGTGATCTGGCGAGCTGTCAAGCCGGCTTCCCAAGTGGCCGGGAGGGCAGCAGCGGCAGATACTCCAGGGGCTGGGGGCCCTGGGTGGCTGAACATGCCAGGGGATATGCGCTGGCTGCCAGAACCTCCCTGGACCACTGGCAGCATCCTGGCCACGGCAGGCTCTGAGGGCAGCGAGGGGATGGGTATCGGCGCAGTGGGGTTTGCCATCGAGTCGAATTTCGGGATCCCTGGGGGTTGCTGGAACAGGCTGGAATGGTGGAGGTCTGTTGCAGAGCTCTCTGCTGAGGAAGGTATATGGTGGCAATCCGGGGCGGCATCTGGCAGCAGAAAGCATCGCACACAGCGCAGTGGCAAGTAAACAAGTTGGGAACAAGGCGAAGCAAGACAAGGGCACAAAGATACATCTGTCGCAAAGATACAGGGAGGAATCGATGCTCTAAGAATGTGTGACGATTGCAAAGACAAACCTGTTGGGCAATACCAGACAGCCCAGTGTGCCAATGTAGCATTTAAAGGGGCAAAAGTACACACATGGAGAGCGCCTGGAAGCAACGGGCATAAGCCAAGGCTGTGAAGCTCAAAGATGATTGCCCCAACACTGGAGTCCTTGTGAACTGCAATACCCTTTCCCCATTCCTTTTTAGTAGTTTTGGGTTGGGAAGCAGGATACACCGACAACAAAGGAGACCATGATTCTAGCAGCCTGACCATGTCACTGGTTGATGCCAGATCAGGGCACCAAGCTACGCTCTGTAGAGGACTGCCCATTGTACAAGCTGTTGTGTTTGTTTTCGCCAGCCAAGTCTCCTGTAAGCGTCCTGAAGGCATGTAGGCCTGGTCCAATTCTGGACACTGTGGACATATTGGCACGGTTCACCTCTCACCTGCATCTGCATTGGGCTTCACCTCATCAGCTGCAAAGAAACCACATTGCCCTTGTTACAGTGAGAGCAACTGCTGTGCTCACTAGCTCAGGCCCACAACCACAGGGCAGCTATGATGCTTACCACTGGTGTGACCGTCAAACAGACTGGGACCAATGGCCCAGTCCACCGCACACCCTCAAGGCCAAATTGTTCACTGGGCTGTGACACACAAGTCACCGAGTGTGACAGGGGGCAATGAAATGGCACAAAGCGCACCGCCAGGTTGATGGCGATGCAGGCTTTGGACCAGGGACTTGCCAGCCCATCGCCTTCCAGGGGGAGGGTGAAAGAGCAGCGAACTTGCCTGTTTTCCCACGTGCAACCAAGGTATCACACAAGGCCGACACAATTCTCCAGTTGGGGACTGAACTTGGGCTGTTTCACGAGAGATAGTGCAACATCTCGGAACAAAAGATGCCCTGGAAGTCGGTGGCAACGCCTGGACCGCACCTGCCTTCACCATCCCCAGCGCGGAACCCAGGAGGCTCTCCCGTTTCTCCACTGCGCACGCCACAGGAGCGCTGTTCTGAGGCCTGAAGCCGACCTGCACGAGCACGCTCGCCGCATCCATCGCATCCCCCTTGTCCTCCATCAAATCCCTGGGCCGCAGCACAGCGCCATTCGCATCCCAAGCAGACAAACAATCGGGCATCCGGAGCATCCGAATGCTCGTCTGGGTTCGGCTGCGTGCGGCCCCGCATAGCGCGCCCCTTGTGCGCCCAAGGGCGCGTTCGACGGCCCAAATACATACGCATTCAGCGAAAATGTCAGCGCGTTTCAGGTGAGGAAATGCGACCGCAATAGAAGACGTCGCGGGTGGGGCGTGGCGAGGCCGTGGCGCGCCGGGATGGCGGCACAAGTGCCGGCCGCCTTCCCACGAGATCGGCTGCCCATTGGGATCGGCCCCAGATCGGACCCCCGCGGCCCAGATGCCGGCAGCCCCCGGCCCTCCGCGGTGCCCGACGCCCCACGGCAGCCGGAAGCACCCGGCGGCACCCGGCAGCGCCGTGCGTCATCAATTCCCGGCGAGGGCCTCGCGGCGTCGGAGCCGGTCATTCGGAGGCGCCCGCACAAAGGTGTCGGGTCCCGAGGCCGGGATCAAGTCGCAGCCCCCGCGGCCGGGGCTGGGAGCGCGACGCGGGCGAGCATCCCGCGCCGATCGACCGGCCGAAAGAGAGACGTCTTTTCTTGCGGCCGGAAGGGGGGGTGCCCTCCGCTTCCGGGGCTCCGGCGCCCCGCCCCCGATGGCAGCAGGCAGCGGATGTCGGCGAATGCTCCGCGCGGCGCCGCCGCCCCCAGCCGCCTTCGCGCCCCGTCGCCCGCGAGGCGCGCCGCCGGCTACGCGATGAATCAGATGCCGTCCGAGATGCGGGCATGCCGTCGCCGCTCCCGGTCCCGATCGCCGCCGACGTCCATGGGATGTTGCCCTTATGGCTGGATCGCGGCCCATGGGAGGGCTGTGAGGAGCCGGAGCGGCGGCTGGCACGGGCGCCATCCCGGTGGGCCGAGGAGGGGGCGTGTGTGTGCGGGGGATGGGTGCGTTGGTGGGGGGCGTCACCTTGCGAGTCTGGGCCTCACGTGACACCTCGTCCAGCCGCGCCGCGCGAGCAGTCCGTCGGTTGCGCTCATGCCTGGATCGCAGTGGTGGCGGTCGGGCATCAATCACCGTCGCCCGGCTGCCACGGAGCGCGACGCGGGTTCCGGGCAGGACTCGCCGGGAGGGCCGCGCCGACGGGGATGTGCCCGGCGGACCGGCCGCGCCCGGGAGCGCTCGACGGTTCCGAGATGCGGATGCAAAATGGCGGGGAAGGGGGGGAGGGGGTGGGGGGGGAGCGGCGCACCTGGCGGCCAGGCTCTAGGGCCGGCGGGCGCTGGCGTGACGGAAACCGGGACGGCTCCCTCCCGCCACAGGCGCGCAAATCCTCTGAGGAGAGCGATGGGGATGCGCGATCAACGGGCTGGCTGCGGCGGGGCGGCTGGGGGCAGGCGCCGTCTCGGTCAGCCCGGGGGTGGGGTGGTGGGTCGGAGGGAGGGATGCGCTCCCGCGAGGGCCCGCCGGCTGCCCGTGAGGTACTCCGACGGGGCTGGGGGGCACGCGACGGGCGGGATCTCGCTGACGGGCGGGCTGGTGCCCGATGGGGACGCCGGAACGGCGGGCGGGGGGGATCACGTAAGGGGCAGTTTCGCGCGGAGTCATGTCGGGGGCTCGGCGCACGCTGTCGGTGACTGACCGGGGGGAGAGTGACCCAGGGGACGGTTCAGTCGCCCACTGCTTGGTATTCTAGTTTTGAGTTTAGCTTTAATTTAGTTTTTTAGTTTTGTTGTTTAGTTTTTGGTTTTCTATTTTTAAGAGGGCTTCTAGTTGCCCAAACGTTTTTTCAGTTGCCCAATCGTCTCATTTGGTGAAGATCCCAGGCTGTTCTTTTTTGAAAGCAAAATGTTGCATCACGTTTCTGTGCCCAGGTGCCAGCCCCGTTGTTTCGCCAAACCCCACAGCCTGGCCGCGGGGGAGCGGACACGGGAACTTTCGAATTTTAAATTCACGCCACACAGCAATTGATCCACAACAAGGACATGAAAGTATGACAATGCCTGCGACAATGGACATGGATTCTCCCACCCGATTTCCTCTAATTTCAGACCGCCGCATGAGCAAGCATCCCCTTGGATGCGGTGAACGTGATGCCTCTTCCACAACACCATGGCGGTCGCAATTGTCCAAGCGGAGGTGAAGGGAATCGAGTCGCAAGTGCTGTTTCAATTGCTGCACACAAATGCATGGGAACACACACCAGAGGATAAGGGCTGCTGTCCACACCCACCAGCCAAATGGGAGGCCACACGTTGCCCTTCAATTAAAGGTACGAAAGAACAAAAAAACACATCCATTGGCAAGGCAGCAGTTGTTTGCATAATTCCGTTTGTTGGGCAACGCTGTGGGAGCGAGTCAGCCGACCAAACCCTGATGCTACTCTCTTTCCAGTTGGGGCGCACTCTCCCACCCACACCCTCAGTGGGCACCAGGCTGGACCAAAGTGCGTCATAGAGTCCAGTGCTTGGGCCTCTGGTTCCTCAATCCGGCACTTCGAACTTCCCAGAGCCAAATCTCCAGCCTCGAGCCTTGCAGTTCCTAGCCAAGCTCTGATACAGGCATCAGACGAGAGACAGTGACCCAACGACCATCCCCTTTCCGAACATTGCCAGATAGTCGATCGTCAATCGTCTCAAGTTTCGCAAAGGGACTTCGCTTGTCACAGGCAGGAAATCTAGCAACAGCAACTCCACTGCCAAACAGTCAAGAAGACACCAAACACCTTGCCCTCCTTGTCGCTGGTGCCGTACTCTCCATTTCGCTGGTGCCCAATTCCGCAGCACTCCTTTCTGCATAGAGGGTTGGAAACGCCTCCAATCTTTGCCGCCCCATTTGCACAGCACAAGGACGTCAACTGCTCACCAAAGCTCCTCGCCAACGACGTCAACGATGCCACACAACAGATGTGCCATGACTACCCACTCAAGAACAGAGCTCATGGAGGGTATGCCTGGGAGGGCATAAGTGCTTCACATCATGCATGATCCTGCATGGATGTCCTGTGCAATGCAAGTCAACATCGCAGGCTACCGGGGCAGCTTTAGTAGCATGCTCCAAGTGCCTCGTGTTCCACAAGCTCCGCAACAGAACAGTCCTGGCACACTGCCTCAAAAGCCATTCTTGGGCAATTGATGCCCATTTCAAAACTCACTTCGGAACAGCGTTTGACACATTTGCGGCCACCCCAATGCTCACACAGCCCCTCCAGGACCGGTTTTCTTCACTCATCTTGTAAACATCCTATGACACCTTTACGCTGAGAAAGCTCGTCCGAGATGCCTTTTCGCCCACGTACACAATAGCCGATGTAAAGATGACACCAAAAACGATGGGGATGAACGTGCCTGTCATCAGACAGGACGTCCTGAAGCCTGTCGCCTCACAAGGTATATGAAGGCCCGTGGACGCCTCGAACAGGAACTCGCACATGTGCATGAGTGCCTCCTTATTCTGAGGGTCAATATCATCAAAACACACGGCACAGGTGTACCGGTTGTTGACCGCAACTTGGATTGCACAGGCCGCCACCTGCACCCATATGTGGTGCTTGAAGCGCACCCAAAATGTCAGAGGGATCGTGACGAGGTGCGAACCCAGGCCGACCAGCATGAAGAGGTACACCTGCCAGTCAGCCAGCACTCCGTCGAAGGATGCGCTGAGCCTGGCACACAGAAAGAAGTTCATAATCATCCGCAGGACTCTCAGAGCGATGCAGGTGCCGTCATGCACCTTCTCGTACAACCGCCCTTCGTCCCGCCGGTGGCAGGCGTAGCACAGAAACGCCTGGGCCCCCGCGAAGCCCACCGTGGCAGATGTTGACAGGCTCACCAAGGGCGCATTCATGACCAGCACCATGGATGCTGAGAACAGGATGCCCAGGAGGCTGGCCACCTTTTCCGTTTTCCTGTGTTCACTGCTGAGCCGGTCATTCCACCATAGGCTCTCTTCGGTTTCGTTTTTAAAAGTTAAGTCCCAACGCAACAGTGCTGCTTCGTCATCGCCTGTGGGTGGCATAGTCGATCGTTTGCCTTGTGCCTTTAGTGCACTATGCTGAGGACCACCGAATCATTCCCTCCTGCAGCCCCTGCATCACAATGCACCAAATTAGAACAGCGGTTGCCAGCAGCAAGCCAATTCCTTGTTGATAGCATTTGTCAAACCAATGCACCTGCAAGCTGAATGTGCAGCAGAATAGCAGCGTTTCTGAAGCACACAGCAATACAACAGTGCATCAGCTACTCAACTACATTCAAGGCAATGCAAGCTTCAGCATATCCGGCTGTGATCCCCAGTGTGAAAGGATCAGGGGATAGCTGTGTCTTGCTGGGTCATTGCTGACCAACAAGCAACAGGTTCCAATATTTCTATAAGGAGGGTACGCCCATTGTACAACCTGCTTTCCACCTGCTACAAAATATCTTCCAGCTGTCTGGATAAGTGATTGGATGCATCTCACAAAAGCGCCTTGCATAGCACCTGTTCAAGCAGTTCTGCTGTCAGCACTGGGCATCCTCGATTGTCGTGAACTGCAGGAAATAGCAGCTCATAGCTTCCACACAGTTATGCACAGCAAACGCATGGTGTGGAACTTTGTGGTACTCATGTTCTTGCAACACTGGGTATACATTTGCCTGCTGCTAGGCAACGTGCAGGACACAAAGCCACAAGGACCTTGGGCAGCCATATTAATCAAACCACCACAGCCATGAGCTGTGCTTCAGCTGCCGGTTTTGCTCCTTTCCAGTCCCAGATCCCCTCCACAAGCTTCCAAAGACAATCTGAGCCTTCATTTCAGGAGATGTACTGGCAGCAACATTGCAGTGCAAGAAGAAGCGCCGCTTTCACAATGCGCTCAGTCTTGCCCTTTGTGGAGAACACTCCACATATTGGTCAGAATCTCAACGACCTCTGGCACATGTGAGAACGTGCAGCCCAAGCAGAACTACAAATTCAGTGTCAGACGTCCATGATGCTGGCCAAACCATGACGAAATGGAAAGTCTGCTAGTCTGTCAGGCCTGTTGAAATAAAGTCAAAGAATTGAGCGTGGAAAGCTACCATTCCCAGCAATGCCACGGATGCATTAACGACCATTCATCACAAAAACGATATCATGTGCCTGATGGCTCTTAACTCCACAATCTTGCAGGGACACGTGGGACACAACGCTTCGCCCGACGCGCCCCGATCCTGCAACAGCCCGACGGGCACCACGAGCAGGAAAAGCAAGGCTGGCTGCAGCCAACCATTGAGTCTTAAGCGGAAAACCCTGAACAGGGTTTGGGCCCCAGGCCGTGCACTCTGCGTCTGCAGCCCTTGGCGGCATCGCTCTCTTCCCCCGAGGCAGCGCGCACTAGACTCGCGGGGCCTTGCCGCGCCTGTGGGCACCGTCCGCTGCCGGCCGGGCCCCCTAGCTTCAAACGTCCAGCAGGAAAGTGGGAAAAAAACTGAGCGCCAGCACCTGGCGCATCCGGCCATCTCCGCACCGGAGAGCCCCTTCCAAACCAAGGACAGAAGCCCAAGGACGTCGCGTTCGGTGGGTGGTCACAGCATCCGCAGGTGACGACCGCCATTCCGCGTACATCCCTCCATGGCCTGCGCCATTTATGCATGGACTGCGCTACTCGACTCTGGGAACCCCGTCGCCCCACTCGGGCGCAACGACTTCAAGGGCATCCTTGTCCGACAACTGCCAGTTGAAATGCACTCGCCCGAAGATGGGCCCCGCCCGCCGCCCGGCCTCTCCGACGCGCAGGCGCATAGCCCACGGCGCGCCGCGCCCGCCGGTTCACATCTCCCCGGCCGGGCGCCAGTTCAGTCAGACATCCGCCGCGTACAAACATCACCCCCCCGCCTCACCTCGTGCCCCGGCACCGCACCAGCGTCCTCAAACCGCCCGATTGCGCGCCAGCCGCGCCGCCCGCCGGCCCTCGAAGGAATCCCAGCTCGTCCAAAGATGAAGCTCCCCAGGCCGATCGAGAGCCGCTTCCCTGCGCCAAGCCCTGGGTCACAGGCGCCACGCACGGGGTGCCCCAGCGGGGTGATCCGAGCCAAGGGGCGGTTGCGGCAGGCGCGGCTGCCCCGTGGGGTCCGAAGGCGCGGGCTGTAGCGTCGCCAGCAACGCGGTGGGGACGCCGGCGGAGGCGGGGCGCCGCGTGCCGTGCCGGTCAGCGCGCGCTGAGGGATTTTCCTTGCGAGCCGGGCATTGCGGAGGAAGTAAAGTGCGTGTGGACTTTTTTGGGCCCGGTGCGGGGTCCCGAAAAGCGCCCTGTGAGGAGCGCCCAGCCGGGTTGGAACTGCTGAAGCAACAGCATGACGAGGCGTGCCGCGCTTCACCCGTTGGTGCTTCGTTGGTGCTTCGTTGGTGCTTCAGCAGAACAAAGACGTTCGGCAGCTCCGTGTCCAGACATGGAGACCGTCTAGGTCCTTTTCGGGTTCCCAAGGTCGCTCCCTGGACTTGGCATTCTCAGGTGTAGGTATTTGATGGCCCTCGCACCAACCATGACCGTCATGACCCTCCTTCATGACCTTCAGATCTGGATTTGACGAATACTGGACAACCTCCTGAATGGCGGCCCATTCATGGTCTTTGCCTAATCATCCCTCCTTTCGTTCGTTATTGTTGATTGCTGGATCGACTGAAAGAAAAATCACTATAGCAGGAACGCTCATCCAACCTAGGGGCGCCACCGTGCTCTGAATCCGAATTTGTGCACAGGTTATTGTATTATTAGCCATTATTATTATATTCCAATAATTGGAATGCCGGCTTGATTGTCTGGTTTTTACGGAGTGTGAGCAACCCGAGTGTGCCCTCTTGCAACTCGGCCTTGACGCGTGGTTCAAGGTGTAACCCGAGATCTGTGCATCTTAAAAGTCTGTCGTGGGGCGTCAATTGCCGTGTGGCTTTTAAGGCATTCCATTTCCATGCACGGCTGAGAGGGCAAAGCCCCCCAGGCACCCATATTTTAGGCCTATGTACATGCCTCATCTGTGCATTCGTTGATGACCTCTCCTAACTTCTTCCCATTACCTCGCTACCAAATGGCCTCTGTACGCCACGACCCCAACCTGGTCTGAATCACTGCGCCAGAATGCTTTGTGCGCGCCTTTTCAGCTGACTGGAGTGTGGGCAGGAACACCAACGCAGTTGCAACCACTCCATGTGTGGGCCACTCGTGTCTGGTGGCTCTCTGCACCACCACCTTTATCGAACTCCTGGCACGAGCACCATTAATCATGGCACAATCCCACATCTTTGAGCAACACAACGCAAGTGAAAAGTGATTTAAGCGAGGCTTTGGGCATCTGAAGGCAATCTCAGGCAGCTTGCTGATGCCCTTGTGCAGTCCTCTATTCTTTGTGAGCTCAAACAGGGCAACCTACTGCTCACCAGATCTGTTGCAGCCTTGCTCTTCTGCCTGCAGGCCCTCGACCTGACACATTTGCGTAATGTCCAGTAGCACCAACCAGACGCCTGCCTGAAGGCGTGTGCCAACACTCAAAAATCAACGCATGAAATTCTTTTGATCAGCAGCCAACAATGGCAGCCTATCACTTCGCAGCTAACTATACTGTCTATCCCATGAAGGCCTTCAGCGAACCTGTGGTGATCCACAGGCGCAGGCACAAGAAAAGGGTGTTCTGCAGCCAAATCATTCATCAACGTGCAAAATGTACCAGACTGACCCAAATACTAAAATTGATGTCGTTGCCTGTGTTCTCAGTGAAACCTTCCCAGTCAGGCCATTCAGCAACGCAGCCCCACTAGCACAGATGTGTGGCAAGTTGTCCAGGCAAACTCAGAATACTGCACTGTTCCCGCAGTGCTAATCCATAATGCATGGGCTCCTTTCCCACAATCCACTGCCACACAACACACATCCTGTCCCCCACATCCTGCTTGGTGGATTTGAGGCTATTGAATCGAGTCATGCAAGAATCTTCCAAGGAAAATACTGGAAGGCAGCACAGGGGGATCACGTCTACCACCTGTTGTCTCCATTTCCAAGCCAACGACGGAAAGCTGAATGCTCCAGACACCACCAGCATTCATGTATACTCGAAGCAGCCAATTTGCCATAACAAGCGCACACACATCCACACTGCTGGTGCAGCTGAGGCCAGCCCAATACAAATCTCTTGTTTTCTGCCAAGACCATCGAGCGTCGCTCGTACGTTGAGCCTTGTGCTCCGTTCATCCCAATCCAGTGACAAAACCGTGATGATGAACAAGCCTCTGCCGATGTGTTGTCGGTTCAGCGATCGACCATTCTTTCCACACCCCATTATGCTTGTGGTTCATCCCATGCCCGCCCTCCCAACCATGCACCCGCCTTGCCTCAACATCACTTGCCAATCTCCATTGACATCCCAACCCTCGCATTCTTCTCCAGGCTGTTCGCATCGAATTGACCTGACAACGCTACCTTTGTGTCGCCTGGCAACATGGACTCCCAAAGCAACGAGCATATGCCCTCGCTGCTGACTTTCCCCTTTGCCAGCGCCCCTGAGTCCAGCCTCCGCGAGTAGCCCAATGACGCTGTCATGTCACCCCCATTCTTGAGAGGCTTGATCACTTCTCCACCAACCACTGCCCGATCGCTCATTTGATACGAGTACGTGACCTTCACTGCCTGGCCTTTCTTCAGCATGTAGGCAAACACAGAGTGGTTGGTTGGGTGGGTGTACCCGGCAGCCAACGACCATGCCGAGCACTCCTTCCTGGAGGTGTCATAGGCCACATTGCCACCCACCACGCCTCCGCACACACCTGCCGATGCCATAAGTGCCACCTCTGGCATCTTGGCCATGCTTGCCGTCCCCTTGACATGGAAGTGGGGGTGGCCGTATTCCATGGCAACCTGCGTGAAGTTAGTTAAATTCGTCAAACAGGGCCCCTGTGCCTTGCAGGCGAAGGCGGGCACAGAAACATCCTACCAAAGTTTTGTCAACGTCTACACAACACAGTTCCACGTGCTGCCCATGGCACACTGTGGAAAGGACAGCACATAGGACAGATAAAAAAACACAGAACTCATAGAACACACAAGGATGTGCTCGACAACATCTGTGGGGTGGTGAATACTGCTGTTCAGATAAGGGAACAGAGCCCCCTTCTGGGCAAAATTTCTGTGTCTCCCTTTCGCATTGCGAAGATGTTGCGGCACAGGTTGCGTGGCCAATTGAATCTCCAGGGAAAAAGTTGGATGCTTTGGGATGGGAAATGTGTCCAGAGGGGTTATCGAAGGCCACGCGTTTGATGCACAGCTGAGTGCAAGAGCCCATGTAATGGACGACCCCGGAGCTCGCTGTTTGCAGCTTCGATGTTTTCCGTCGACTGCCCAAGGCAGCTCGGATGTCTGCGTCTGCCATGGACTGGGGCGCACGAAATGCTGCACGCATTCGAGTGGACACGACACGGCCCCCAGGGGGTGGCGGGGCGAGGGGGGCAGATGCCGGCGCGTGCGTCCCGACCGGCAGGGCGCCGCTGGTTTCACTGCCCCGCGGTATCAGGGGCTGCAGCGGCAGCCTTTGAGGGTTTTACCCGGGGGGGAGACTACGGAGACCAGCTGAAAAAGGGGGGAGGGGGGGGGACTCACCTTCGCAGGGGACTTGTACGGGAAGGAGGCGGACGCCACGGCTTTGAATCCGGGGTCGATGACGTTCGACACCGTGGCCTTCACGGACGCCTGAGCAAGCGGGACACGGATTAGCGCCCCAAATGCCGCCAGCCTGCTGCCAAGGGCAACGATAATCATGCCCATCGGACCAATCCGGACGAAATGGACCTGTTCCACAGGTCGCGCCCAGCGGCGCGAGCGCCTGCGCCCACAACCGCCCGAGACGGCCGCGCCCCAACGGTCATCGGCACAGGCGGCAATTTTCTCGGGCCGGTCGCTCGATTCGACCGACGGCAACTGTGGGAGCCGGAGCGGCATCCCATTGGCGGGCTCTTGGCGCGACGAGGGACCAGCGATGCGGTCCCGACCCCCCCCGGGCGCAAGCCATTGACTGCATTCGTCCACGCGCGGCAGGGTGCAGCCTTCGTGCCTCCCGGACGGCAATGGCGCCAGGCCGCGACCGGCCGTCCCGCCACACGTTCACTACCATTCTCGCATGCCGAAAACCGCAGACGGGGATGGGAAAGGCGCGTCCGCCCCCCTCCACCACCGCCCCACCTTCGACGCGCTCGTCGCCACGCCCTCCACCGTGAACTCCTTGCAGCACTTGAGCGTGCCCTTGACGTCCATGTCCACCGCGCCGTCGGCGTGACTCCTCTTGGTGGTCACGTCCACCGACTGCGGGCGCAAAAAATTTCAGATCCCCCGTAACCGCAAATCCAAGCCGCGAGCCCCGACGATGCGCGCCCGCGCTCCGGCAGAGCCAATCCCGACATGCGCTCGGGAAGCTCGCGCTGGGTCGCGGAGGGGGCGGGGACAGGGGGGAGCTGCAAGGTGCGAGTGCTCACCAGCCCGTCCGAGGCCTTCCCGGAAATCTTGCACCTGGAGTCGAACTGATACACCCCTCCAGAGCGCACCCCCCCGTACAGCAGCTCTGCGGCGCACACAAGCACTCAGCGGCGGCGTCAGGAGGCCGGCACGCGCATTGGGAGGTCGCGGAGAGGAGATCGGCGGCAGGAGAGCGGCGCGACCAGGCGCCCGCCACTCACCGCTGCACGTCTTGCCGAAGTCGGCGAAAGGCGGCACCTTCATGTCGGCTGCGATTGGGCGACGAGGTCGCGGAACGGGTTGGGGCTCCGCGGAGGTGGAAGGGCCGTCGGCTGCGCGCAGCGCGAGCGGCTAGCGGCGAGCGGGAGCGCCGAAGGAAGGGGGGCAGCGGGCGCGACGCTCGGCACGGGCGGTCAGACGGCGCCTGTCTGTTGGCCTGTTGACCCTTCGTACTAAAAAGGTGGGAACGGCCGGCCAGGGTCAGCTGCTAATGGGCAAGCATTTCTTTTTGCGACAGTGGACTGTTCTTTTTCGGCTTGGGTTGGGCTGAGAACACATTAGTCCCTCTGTTGTATTTTCCGTGAAGGTCCCTTCTCCTTCCGCTGACAGAGGTCAGGGAAAGTCGGTCAGGGGATCAGTGGTTTAGGGTTTAGGGTGTCCGAAACAGGAAGTGATCTTCACGGAAAAGACAGGGCGACTAATTTTATGATGGTTTGGGTTGGGCTTGATGCGCTGAACCATGAGGCAGGAAGAAACAGTTGGGGCGCTTGTACCTTCCTGGCCTTTGATTGAGGGGATTGGGCAGGGCCGTGCAGGCGTTTGTTGGGGTCAAGTCATGAAAAAATTCGACACTGCCTGCCCTTTGCAGGTGTTGGGTTCGGCTGAGCGAGGAGAAGGCATTGTTGGCATTCCTGGCAACGGAGCCGCGATGTGAAGTGGCCCACCGCTGCACAGATGCAACCACGAATGCAACGCATTGAGCAAATTTGGCACAGCGGCCAAACGTCCATGCATCATCACGTCCAAAACACACAACGGCATATTTTTCAAGTTCCTCAGCGACCCAAATGTATTTGTGTTCTTCCAGCCACACCAATCCCCGTCGCTTTGTCAACATGCACATACAGGCAAACCCATATTAGTAAGTACGCGGACAGAATTTCAAGTGCAACCGTGCTGCGGAGTCTGCCGGGGTGTGCAGTCCCGCTCAGCATTTGGCTTGCATTCCACCACTCCCAAAAGGTGTCCTCCCTATCCCCTTTGGAACTTTTCAAAATTTGTATATGACCAACAACAGTTCAAAATGCCTCTGCGTCGTCAATACTTGCTAAGACAGGCTTAAGATACTAAGCAGAACGGCTTCGAGCTTCAACAACATTTATTCTACGCTCGTTACATTGGCCGAATAAAAACCCAAGCTTTCGACGGCAATTTGGAATCACATTCCGAGACCGCACTGTATGGTTGCCAATGAATCTGGAAAAGGGGGGGGCAATTGCCAACATTGTTCTCCAATAATGCCCTCCAAGACTCCAAGACTTCCACCATTCCGCAATTTACGTAGGCTCCATCGCTATGACTAGCTGATGTGACCTGTGAGGGAGGAAGATTGTCCACCTTCTTCGCTTCAGCCTTCCCTATCGCGTATTGGGCATTTTGCGTGCGCGGCTCAGCCCCGGTTGAGCTAGCCGTTCGAAGCGCAGGTTGTCGTCCTACTCTGGATGGATGGGCAGCCCGTTCTTAGGCTTCAGACCTTTGCATTGTCCCGTTTATGAGCTCTGTTCGAGGATCGGGGTTTCTCAGGCTTACGCGTACGTTGGATGCGTGGCACGCCCACAAGGGCAGTTCAATGTCGATGTAGTTCAAGGGCAGCCTACGAGCTCAGATAGCTACGTGCAAGTGACTGTAGCTCCTCATGTTGCAAAACAGCTGACCAATAGCCTGTTAGTCCGTCCGACGCCATGCAGTCCTCCTGCGGGTTGCAGTTGTAGTCCATCCCATGGGATGGACACGCAGGACAAGCGCATCCCTGCATTTGGGATTTGCTTCAATTGCTTGCACCACACAACCGGGCCGGCAGTTCCGATACTCGCTGAGCGGCAGGGAAGCAATGCCGTAAGGATGGTCGCAGTGGGCTGCCCCCGGATACAAATTGTCCAATCGGACGCACACGCAAATGCACCGTCTGTCATGAGGTTTAGAATTCCCACGCGCGTCGATGCATTTCTGCTATATAATAGAATATTTTATTATACATTCTAATTAGAATACTCTATTATATAATAATCGGAATATATTCCAATTCAGTCTTGATACAATTGCGAGGCAGGTTCCCGTTTAAGCGCGCACGGTAGAGGGGACATACAACCACGTGAGCGTTGCTGCGCGTCAGATGGTCTTATGAACAAATAAGCGTGATGAAGTTGCGGGTTGGAGACATGCAATTACCTGTACGCCCCATGATAGCTATGGACCCCACAATTCAAGAGTGCAGCAAAATCCCACCCTACTGCCTGGATGGGGATGCCACCAAGAAAGCACGTGCAAAGATGAAAACGCCCATAGCACCAAAAGATGACCAAGTACTCCAAAACGATTCCGCCGTTCGAAAACTTCCACGTGCTTGATTTCGCGCTCATGGTGTCCCGCTCAGTCGAATATGAAATTGACGCAGTTGGATGAACAATGCAGTAACTATACAATATTTAACACCGATATTGGAGATCGCTGTCAGTACAGATGATCATCTGTGCCTCAGTGGCCACAAAAGAACCGTGCAATGTCATCGACAAAGAGTTGCGATGCAAAGCTTTTTGCACACCTGAATGTGCACAGTCAGTTCCTATTTCGCAACGCCAAGTGTCCACTGCCGACATGCACGGGCTTTGTGGCCACCTTCACCTTTGAACGCAGTTGGGAGCACTCAACTCCCGTCTTGATAGAGCGGCGCTGTTGGTGCACAAGCCCTTGTTGCAGTGGCTCAGCCTGCAGTAGGAGCCGCACTCACGGTCACTCGTTGTGGCCCAGTGCTTCCTCCTCACCAGGCACCCCGCTCTGTGCGCTGCGGCCCCCACGCTTTTCCTGTCCAGTGGTTGAGGAGGCTGTCTTGGAGATTTCGTATCCTTGCTGGCTGTCATGGGCGCCGCTGCATGTCGTGGCTCTAGCAGGAGTCCGACTGGTCTTCGACGTTAATATCCACCGCAGCTGCCCAGGTCATACTTAACTGTTCATCTGTTGCGCTCCTGAAAACTTGCGAAACGCGTGTTGATTGGGGAAGCTTGTTTTAGAGCTCCGGCGCTTTTTGTACGCCATGGGCGTGACTCTTGTCATGTCTGTTGCACTCATTGCCGTTATGACTCTGACCGCGCTGTATGTGGGCGTCATGGGGGGCGCGATGGTCGCCATTGCCTCGGCTGCCATATTCACCACAATGAAAGACCTGCATAAATATCTCACAGAAGAGAACAAGCCCAGCTACTGACTCGATTATTTGATCAATGTCTTCATTGCATCGCACGTGAATCATTAGGCGGACCACCACAGAGCAGGATCGCTTTGTGTGACTTTTTGTAAGAAGAGTCGCAATGCGAAAACACTCCTTGCTTCAGTTGCTGCTCGCCAACTGTTGAGAACGCTTCTCTCCATGTATTGACATTGACAAACGCATGTTGGCGGTGGAAATTGATACACTTTCCCACCATGTTTGCTTGTGTTGCACATTAGATTTCAATGAACTGATCACGGACACTGCTTTGCTCGTTAAAATACATTCTCAATTGTTCGGGGCGCCACTTTATAAAGTAGTAATAAGACTCAAAGAACACAATCATGGGGCTAGTAAATGTGGTGAAAAGGCGCCCCGTATGACAGGCAGGAAATGGCGAACTCGAAAGGCGCACTCTCAAAAGTCGTCATAGAAACCGAGTCAAGATACTTTGGGATGTCAATGATGGACACAGGGACCTTCAGGAGTGGTACATTGACGATCTGCAATCACACCAGCGATCGTGCCCGATGTGCATACTGTGCGCTTGTGAAGACCAGTGAGAGAAAGAGAGAGATTTACAGATAGTGTCATGTTCCTTTTATCCTTCGATGGATAATGAATGCAATGTCCATGTAATGAATGTAATGTTCTTGTGTAAGCCCACACGCTTCCCTGTGCAAACTTCGAAATCCTCAATAGCAAGGCTGCAACATATCCGAATGAACCATTCTCACAAAACCATTGGAAGATTGAATCTGCCAAACTGAACGGCTCACTTGGCCCACAATTTTCCAAGGTCCTAGCCAGAAAGGAGCAAATTTCTTATGATGTTGCTTGAGGCGTTCTGAGTCCCATAGCCAAACAAGATCGCCAATAGCATATGTATAACATCGTAAACGGAGACGATCATTCGCCAATTTGCAAGCCTTGTCCATGTTCTCTCGTACGCGCTTCCAAATTGTAGAATTGCCATGCCAAACTTCCTCTGGTGTGTAGTTGGTATTGGAGTTCCAGGTAGTGCGAATGGCTTGTAGAGCCTCTGGTAAGGTTTGTTCCCAACTTGTGAATCTGTCTTCCATGAGTAGCTGACGAATGCGTCCAATTAAGGTTTGGTTGAATCGCTCCACGAGTCCATTGGACTTATGGCTTCCAGGTGGACTCCAAATAATATCAATATTGTGAGTAGACAACCAAGCCTTCAATTCCACAGAGCGATTGTAGGAAGCTGGATCGCAAATCAATTTCTTGGGCTTGCCATATACTGATATCCACTTGTTTAGTCCCTCGATGACAGTTTTCGAATTGGCAACTTCAC